TGTCTCTGCCTACCCATAAGCTTTCAACATGCCCTTGACTCTTCTTCAGAGACATCTCTTCACACTCTATCCATTTCTTGATACAGAGGTCAATGCATCCGCTCCTCCTTTCTCTCCTGTCACTTCTGAACAGCTTGTAGCCATTGGTAGCCACACTCCAGTCATAGGATTCATCCCAACAAGTTTCAATAATGACCACTATGTGGTAGTTTTCCAGCAACACAGTAGCTTTGAACTTCTCCTGTTTGTTGCCCATGCACCATGCATTGGTGTAGAGGTGCTTCAGATGGACTGTTGGCTGTGTCACCTTTTTGGAGGAACATCCCTTAATTCCCTTAAGGTGTTTCACAGGTGTTTCCCTGCTGGCTCCTACTACCTTAGGAGCCCCTGACTCATCTCCATAAGACTTCACTGTACTGCAGTGTGCCCACCAAACCTTAGGGCAACAGATTGAAGGCCCTTACTTGCACTCTGTCCCTCTAACCCTGGGCTGTCATCCTACAGCCAGTCAGAGACAGGCCTGATATTATTATCCCCCTCCCCCTTCACATCTAGTTTAAAGCCCTGTCAATCAGCCCTGTAATCCCTTGGGCAAAGACCCTCTTTTCCCTTTGAGAAAGATGTCTTCCATTTGATGTCAAAAAACCTGGTGCTGTGTAGGCTATTCCATTATCAAAAAAAAACCTAAATTGTGGTGGTGACACCAGCCTCGAAGCCATGTATTAACAGACTGGACCTATCTGTTTCTTTATAATGTCACTGCTTGCAACTGGAAGGAGAGGTGAAAAAATAACCTGTGCCCAAGATTCTCTCACCAACCATCCCAAGGCCCTAAAGTCTCTTGTTTTCTCTTGGGCTGCAAGTAACCACTTCCTTTCTACCTACATAGAAGATCAGCAGTGAGTAATAATCTGAGGACCAAACCAAGCTGTGAAGTTTACTAGTGATGTCCTTAACCCAAGCTCCAGGGAGACAGCAAACTACCCTATGCTGAGGGTCTACCTGGCATATTGGACCCTCAGAAGGGAATTGCTTATGACTATAACCCTTCTTTTCTTCCTTGGGGATGTGGTCATGGTAAGGGGATTGAGCCTTTCTGACTGGGGAGACGCCTCTGGAGTAGATTGCCTATCATCCACATCCTCATTTGTTGGGCTTTCCTCAACCAGAGCTTCGTACCTGTTGTTTATGTTTTGAAATTACTTTTTGATTTGCTGTGTTATGAAGTAACTAAGCATGACTTTTTTTTCCTGAAGTGTTAGGATTTTTTGATTCTGAAGCTGTCACAGTCTTTAAAATGTTCAGAAACACCCCTCCTCCTCGCCCCCCGACAGCTCTTTCTTCCTATAATTGTAAAGTATCATACTCTAACTTGTTTGCTAGAACTTGTACAGAAATGCAGTCTTTAAATAGAAGTGCCTATTTAGCTGTAGGGTTTGTTAACTAGAATGTTGTGTAGACTGTACCAAGATGCAGCTTAAATCTGTGTTTTCAGTTGGTATTTGACATTTATTTTGTTATCATGTTGTTTTGCAATTAAAAACTTTAAATAAAATATTGGCATTTCAAACCTTCCAACAGATGTAAACTGGGGATCCTCAACACAGGCTTTGACTTACTTAAATGCACTACAGCATTCTATTCGGCTCTCAGGAGTGGAAGATCACGTGAAAAACTTCAGGTAACATTTAATATTAAAGACATATTAAATTATTTCTCTGTATTCAGTAGGGTATTGTCACAGTGTTTGCTGTCATGGTTTCTATTAAATGGCTGTTCATCTCCTGTGGGTTGTAACACCTGAATTCCACCACCGTGGACGTCCTCTGGATGTATTTACATTAGCATTTTATTTCTGATTAAGAGCGCACTTTAGAAGCAAGTCTATGGATGATGCATGCTTACTGTTAGATGCCTCATGGTTTGCATCATGAACTGAATTGAAAGGTAAGCTTCAAAATGCTAATAAGCATTCAGTCCACATGCTTGGGATAAAACTGATCTAACCTAAAATCCCCAAGATGTTTATAATGTGGATGTTATGCAACACTAGCTATTGCATATTATACATATTCTGTCATTGCACTTCAGTAATGGCAAGCAGGCTACATTAGTGCTTTTCACACAACTGAAGAAGAGAACTGATTTGTTGTCTGCCAGCATGGCTACCCAGGAAGGTCCTACTCAAGGAGACAGTTTTCTATCCTTGAGTATTTATTTATACATTAATAATTTAATAAAGTATTTATGCCACTTTTCTGAATAAGCTATTGTTGAAGAAAGATGCTACAGAATTTTTTAACAAAAAGTATTGACTTAAACTAATTAATAATGACTCCAAATAAATAGAATCATAGATTGAACATGACTTTACCATATGGTCTTGGCCAATTATTGACTTAACTAACTCATCATAGAACCAGCTGCAAAGTTACATCCAAATTGATGTTACAGCAAGTTGCTCAGGGCCATATCCAGTCAAGTTTTGAGTATTTCCAAGGATTGGGATTCTGTTACCTCCTCCATGCTGCCTATGCCCAGCACAGGATTTATAATGTTGAGTCTAGCAAATCTCTATCATCATGTGCAGCTGCAGCTGTAAGAACTGTATTATTCTGTTATGCTCAGTGTATTAGCAAGAGAATCTAGCTACTAAATTCTTCTGTTGTGTTCAAAATAAAACTGTATGTAGAACATTTCTTCTCAGTTGGGAAAATACTCTGATTCTGACCACTAACCTTTCTTGGAAGTGACAAGATTTTCCTGAAGAAGTACAGGATAGGTACTTACAGTATCTGTTGCATACATCCTGACAGTTGAAATAGACGTGTCAACCAATTATGATAGGTACTAGCACAGCCTCAAAGAATATGACAGTAAAACTAAATTGCAAATTATTAATATGAGTATTAATGAGCTTTCCACTTCCAGTGGAAGAGAGTTGGCAACTATGTATAAAACACAAAACTTGAAGTTTAATTATGAAACGGCTTATTTTTGAAGTTCTGAGTGCTAATATGATATTAAAATTCCTGATTTATTTACAAACATTATTACCTGTTACATCAAGCTGCATTGTTAACAGGAAAAAGAACAATTCAGAAACTTGTTTGTTGCTTAGGTATCAAGAGCAGCAATTTTAAAATGTTCCCTAAGGCAAATCTAAATATATGGTATTAAATAATACCTAACTGTTACTAGTGTTGCAACTTTACTCTTGTCTGCTGTGAGTCTATTTTGTGTTGCAAAATTCAATGTAGAAAGAAGCTTTATAGGAAAATTCTTACTAAGTCTAACTTTCTGCTTGTGCTGATACAGTAAATCAATGTTCTGCTTATCAGTATGTATTTAGGATTGCATTGGAAGCTTTTTTATTTGGGAAGCTAGTATATAGCTTTCTGAGTTTTAAACTTCTTTAATTGTTATCCTAAGAAGATACGTATCTTAGTGTAAGCCAGTTTTAAGCACAGTGTCTTAGGAGAACTAATGTTTTGACTTCTAGTGATACATTCTAAATCAGAGCAGTTCAATATTTATTTATAAGTTTGCAGATGACACCAAGTTGGGTGGGAGTGTTGATCTGTTGAAGGTAAAAATGCTCTACAGAGGGATCACGACAGGCTGGATTGATGGGCCAAGGCCAGCTGCATGAGGTCCTAGAAGGCTAAGAGCATTGATGTCACAACAACCTCATCTAACACTACTGGCTTGCGGAAGAGTGGCTGGAAAGCTGCCTGGAGGAAAAGAACCTGGGGGTGCTGTTTGACAGTCAGCTGAACATAAGCCAGCAGTGTGCCCAGGTGTCCCAAGAAGGCCAACAGCATCCTGGCCTGCATCAGGAATAGTGTGGCCAGCAGGAGTAGGGAAGTGGTTGTGTCCCTGTGCTCAGCACTGGTGAGGCCACACGTTTAATACCGTGTTCAGTTTTGGGCCCTTCGCTTCAAGAAGGACATTGAGGCGCTGAAGTGTGTCCAGAGAAGGGCAACAAAGCTGGTGAAGGGTTCAGAGCACAAGCTGTATGGGGAGCGCCTGAGGGAGCTGGGGTTGTTCAGTCTGCAGAAAAGGAGGTTGAGGGGAGACCCTATTGCCATCGACACCTGCATGAAAGGAGGGTGTAGCAAGGTGGGTGTCAGTCTCTTTTCCCAAGTAATAAGTGATAGGAAAGAGAGGAAACGGCCTCAATTTGTGCATGGGGAGGTATAAATTAGATACTAGGAAAATTAATATTCACTGAAAGAATGGTCAAGTATTGGAACATTCTGCCCAGGGAAGTTATTGAATCACCATCCCTGGAGATAGATGTGTAGTCATGGCACTTTGGGACATAGTTTATTGGTGGACTTTGTAGTGTTAGGTTTACAGTTGGACTTGATAATCCTTAAGGGTCTTTTCCAACCTAAATAATTCTATTATTCTGTCCTATGATTCTAATAAAGAAAATTAGCTGTAGCTACTATAGAGATTGAGACAGATGACTTCATGTGACTCTTGAGATACAAAAAATTATAATCAGAAATTAATTCTGAAGTCTAGACACTTAATATTTTAAAATTGCTTAGGAATTTGTCTAGAATAACCTACTTGCAGTTGTGTGGCTCTGCCTTCTGAGTGATAGTAATTTTTAAAAAAGAGTATGATTCCAGTTTTTCTGTTGGGCACAGAAGCATCTAAGCTAGAAAAAGCAAAGGGATGTAACTTACAAATGAGGTGTCCTGGATGAGAGTGACTGAAGTTCTGTAAATCCTCTTGGGCTGAATCAGGGTAAGCCAACACCAAATCATCAGTTAAACATTATAATGTGAACAATTTGGATTTGGAAAACATAGCGTTGGCAGTGTTGGTTCTTAGTGGGTGTCTTTTGTGCGAAAGAGGAAAAGAGAAAAGAGTGATAGGAAAGATACCACCACCCTGGATCAGATGCCTCTGCTTCTCGAACTTCTTTTCCCCTCATTGCAAAGCAGAACTTGCAGCTTTTGTTATGGAGGGCCTGTCCTGCCACAATGTTGGAGACATTAACTCTTTCAGTCTCTCGTATGAGGTAAAAAATCCATCCTTATGACCTTGTCTAAAATCTGTTTCTGATCTTTTTAAGTGTGTCAATTTTCAGGTTTAATGGGATTGTTAAGTTTCGAACCAGTTAATCATATGTCTGCTGACAGTTGTGGAAAAATTGATCTTTACTTAATTTAACATAGTCTTGGAAATAGATGAGGTTACTGTCTCTCCCGTGATGATTATTTTCTTATGGCCGGTATTTGGAAGAAACTTCTTTCTTTTAATAAAAAGACCTAGTAATCCAGAGGGAATGAATTCCAACCTTTTTTTAATTCTCATCTATTTACGATTCTAGACCTCAGTGCTTAATTATGACAGGTCCTCCAAATGCACGTCCAGCTTTGCTACACCTTGTCCATGCTTTCACCAAGAACGTGGGTTTGATGATCTGTGGCCATGTACATATGGTAAGATTATTATATCTTTAAAGTTACCTTGTTGAGTTTTTTCATTGTTTTGTTTGTTTGTTTTGTTGTGTTTTTATCTGTTTGCTTTTTGTTTGTGGTTCTTGTTTGGGGTTTTTTTGTCTAGATTTTTTTGGGGTTGGTTTTTTTTTTTCTTAATGTGTCATTAGACATTTCGCAGTGCATAAAGAGATTTACTGGTAGGATTCACTCATGTATGGGTCATTGCTATTCCTGCTAGATGTACTACAGGGGAAACTTTGCAAAATCAGTAGCTTTGATCATATGATGCTTAATTGCTGAGGAAGTTTTTTAGGAGTAACGTAAGCGTTGGATTACAGCCTGGGTCTCTTTCTGTGCTTGTGTCATACAATTTCATGTACTCTCTCATGCTTTGGACAGAGCCGTTGGTCAAAACAAAGCTAGATTTTCTCTCAGTGCAGTTTCAGGTAGATTGAATTCCTGTGTAGATTTCTTACAAAGCCTGGTCTAAAATAAACTGCTTCAGCAGTACATTCAATACCAGTTTAGCCAATAGTTTAAAGTTGCTGTTAACCTTTCAAGCAGTTTTTCATTTCTTCAGTTTTCAGAGTAATTTCATTGGCAGGTAAAACAGTAATGTGAACAGATGTTTCCTTTCCTGTTCCCTTTCTGCACAGCTCCTAGTATTTCACTGACTTACGCTGTTTTTTGTCAGGATATGAGGTGTGAGGGGTTTTGGGGTTGGGCGTGTGCAAGGACACAATCTCAGCAGCTCTTACTACTACAGAAAAACCCCAAAGGATCTTCTCTGGCAGGCCTGTAGAGGTTTTGGGCTGTGAGAGGAAGGAAGCAAGCAAGCTTCAAGTAACTGTTCTTTGATATCATGCTTGTCATGAGTTGTCTACTGTGATATAAGGTGGCTGTCATACTGTGATCTGTACCAAAACTTCAGTTAGCTGTGGGGAGGCTGTTGCATCTCTGATAAACATTGGTAAATACATTTCAGCATATCGGGATTGTGTAGTGTAGCTTCATATTTTAAGGCCAAGGGTTTTCTGCAACATCAGTGAAAACATTTAAGCAAGTATAACTTCAAACATAAAGACTGATTTATCTTAAATACATTTGAGTTTACCACACTCACTAATTATGACTTTCTTCGGATCTAATGAACAGATAAGAATAAATGAAGTTAATGGAGTCACAGAACATACATTTTGTTAAGCAAATATTGGCCATTTTGTCTTCACAAACTTTTCTAATTCCTGTCTCTACAAACTTAAAATTTCAGTGAGTGCAAAGGACAGAAACTGAGTAATACTATAGAGAGGTGAGATATCACAGTTGGAATTACTGTCTTTCAGAAGCAGGGCTGTGCTAAAAAAATTAAGGTAGTGTCATCCTTCTTGTAGGAAAGCAATTCTGATTAGAGATTTTCTGGGAGCATATCCTATCTCTGTTTAAAATGGGTTTCCTACAAGAATGATAACACTATTGTGTTCTTCACTAACTCCGGGCATTTGGTCACAGCCTGTATCCTTTTGTAAAAACTGGGTTACTGTGTTCTTGATTATACATCATCCTGTATTCTGCATTTTTATGTGTAGGAGAAACACAAAGATTCATTCTGGTGGACGTAATAAAAAGGAAGTATTCAAAAAGGAGATGACTTTGACTGCAATATAAAACTGCAGAAGTGACACTACTGTGAGAAAGGCTTTCTGATTAGGATTATGTACACACAGAGGCACACTACTATAGCTTGAAACAAATATTCCTATAAAGCCTAATATTAAGTCATCCTATATTTCTGTATGTTTAATTACAAAGTCTTTTACTTTTAAAACTACGTTACGTTTTCGAAGACAACCTTGTGCCACCAGCTGGGTAATTGAGTTGTGCTCTGCATGAACAAGATGGCTAACGATTGAGCAACCCTCTTCCTAAAAATGAGAATCTGGTCTACTCTTTGCTTCTGATAATTCCTGGTATTTTGTTGGGAATTTTTGTTTGTTTGTTTGTTTGTTTTTTAATATGATGGGTGCATATTTTGAGGTTCTTCAGGTTTGAATTGGTTTCTAGAAGTGATTTATTTTTAAAAAAGTGGGAGGTCTTTATTAACTACCCATAATTCTTGTTCTTACTCCTCTTTTGATTTCCTTATTTTGAAAGGGTCCTCGAAGGCAAGCCATGAAGGAACTGTCGACTGATTTGGCTAAATATCAGCGATGGCTAATTAAAAATAAGATGAAGGCTTTCTATGCACCAGTGCATGCAGAGGACTTGAGAGATGGAGGACAATACTTAATGCAGGTACACCTCTCAGTTTTTATTACTTTTTTTTTAAATGAAAGTGGTGAAGATGAAAATCAAAATTGAAAGTGTTTTTATACTTCGAAATATTTTCATTTTGCAAAATGTCTCCGTTTAGGGCTCTGGGCAAGCCCAGGGAGCAGGATTCTCTCTCTGTTGTCCCCCACCCTCCCAGGGGAGGATTAAAAAAAAAAAAAAGGGAATAGAGGAAAGATGCTTTGCACAACGTTGGAAATTAAGACTAAAACAAGTTCAATGAAAAAGAACAGGGGAAAGGAAAAGGGCATTAATAAGGGACAAAGGATATTTAACTATATACAAAACCCGATCCCAGTAGTCCCGAGTGGAAGTGTCCGAGAAGTGCCTCATGGCCGCTGCAGCTGCTGTGACTCGTCACCAGGGACCGCAGTGGTGCCAGGAAGCAGCCCAGGAAGCCAGGAAAAGCCCGCGAAAACCTCGGGCCTCCTCGGTTTTTTCTAGACTGTGGCCAGAAAGGGGAGGGAACAGCACTGATCTCAGACCCCCCACCTGTCCTTCCCTTTCAGGCTGTTAACCCTTAAACCATAACACAAAGTTATCTTAAAATGCTGATGAAAAATACTTTTTGTGCTGAAGGAAATTATAGTACCTTTAGTTGTTTCAATAACATGTTTTTTAAAAAAATATTTTTTGTTCTTCTTAGGCTGCTGGTCTGGGTAGAATGAGACCTAACACCCTAGTTGTTGGATTTAAGAAAAACTGGAGACAAGGTGACATGAGAGATGTTGAAACCTATATAAATTTATTCCAGTAAGTACAAAATACAGAGGTGTAGCTCTTACACTATATTTCCCTATATTTGGTAGTAAGTGAAGAAGATCTTGCACGAAGTCTCTTTCAGGTAAACTCATGTTTTCCATATTGCTGATCCAGCAGTCTTCAATACCTTGTTTTATTCTAGTATGGAAATTAATAAGCAAGTCTTCATAGTTTAAACAGATTAGATTTCTATATAATGACTGCATCTAGAAAGACTTGTGGCAATGATCTGACATTTAAGAGTTACTGTCTTTAGAGATGGAACTAGTTTCTTATGTGCCAGCCTGCTGAATCCTTTATAAGCATAGTTTTTATTGAAAGCAGGTTTTTTCCTACACTACTTCTGTACAGATTAAGTGTATCACAGAATCACAGAACGTTAGGGA